CTTTCAAGAAGGAGCTCGATAAGCGCTGGTTGACTTTATTTCCCGAAATAGACGCATAGACCTGGAAACAGGGGTGGGTTTTTCGTTTACTAACCACCCCCATCCGGGGCACGCTTCCGAACGTGAGGTCTCTCGCCTGAACAAGGGGAGAAGATACTTTTTCTTTATCCTCTTCCCTTACAGAGACGGAGACAACTGAGACGTGAAGAAAACGTGTNACACTCGCAGTGGTAGGGGCCGGAACGGGGCTTACTACCGGAGGAAATCTGGACGCTCGATTGGCCGTGGCCATCTCCTGTCCTGTGCAAACTGATTGACTGACTGACTTGAATTTGAACTGACTGAATTTGGCCCAATCGGGGGCGCCTTATCTGAAAGTGTGCGCTACTTGCCTTAGTTAACGTATTCGCACACGCCTTTCGAATAATGGCGGACGATGCTGCTAGAAAGTTGCAGTTCGAGTATAAGGTGAACTCCAGCCTTGTCCTTCTGACTGATCGTTCACTCATCGATCGCCGTCCTCGTGATGAATCCACGGGCGAGGTGCTTAGTCTTGCGGGGAAAATTAGGGTTCAAGATATGGGACACAAATCACAGAGAAATAAACCTCTCATGCTTCAAGAGAAAAGAGCCAAGTGAGTTGCATTTTTTCTCCACATTGGGTCTGATCAGGCGTCAGAAGAGGGACGAAATGCAACAAGATGCTCTGAAACTGAAATCCGCTAGCTTGCTGGCAGAAGATCTGGATGATGTTGCCGGTATTATCTATCGTCCCAAGACTCCGGACACAAAAAAAACATATGAATATATTCTGCATTGTATTCAGGAAGCCCTTGGAGACCAGTCTAGAGAAATATTGTGCGGTGCAGCTGATGAAGTCATTGCTACTTTCAAAAACACTAACATGAAGGATAAAGAACGTCGGAAGGAAACAGAAGCCTTATTAGGTCAGTCAAAATTGCATGTGGATAATTTTCTTTCCAGGTCCCCTCGCGGATGAAAGATACAACATCATCGTCAATCTTTGTAAAAAAATCACTGACTGGAAGGAAGAGGAAACCACCGCCGCTGCGGATAACATAGATGAAACTTACGGTGTCAATGTGCAGTTCGAGGAATCAGATCAGGAGGTATGTCTCATTCATTGCTCTCCAAAATATTCCCGTTTGCTCCGAACTTGATTCGTTTCCAGTGGTCTAATTAGGTACGCTTTCTCTCAAACGCTGCACCAGAGCCTTCTGATATGATGCGCTNTCAGGCGTAGTTGTGAACTACTCAAGCCGCTGCTTTTTGAAGTGCTTACTTCAGTTTCAATTAGCGAATCTAATGTCGGTAAAGCCGAGTTAAATGGTCAGTATTTCGGATGTCCTCCCGTTTTTGCTTTCCCTAGTACGACCAATGGGGGGTTCTACAGCTCATTTTGGCAATATTGGTTTTTATTACACATCATTGTGTAATGAACAACGGGCGAGGTGACTCCCATGGTCATGAGAACCTACTGTTTATTCTTGGAGGCTGGCAGACGAAGTTCTGGGACTTGAGACGAACCACAGAAGGCTCCACTGATTTCGGTGTAGTATTAAGCTGAACGTCAGCGAAACTGCCTACTGCCAAAATAACTTACAAACCCCAGTGTAAGGGTGTCTGCGGCTTGAGATGCTACTGCAATAGGTAGAAGCTAATCGACTATAAATGTTTAATTTATAGACTGTAAGGAAGCCTTAGATAAATACAAATCGATCATAAAACACCTGTATTCTCACCCAAGCCTATGTTAATATTTTTTCTTATCATTTTCGTCGTATAAAATGTATATGGTCACTGACTGCAGGTTCGCTGTCGTCCGGCCCAATACCATCTATACTAGAGGGCATCATGTGGTTCGCCACTCCGAGTCCTGGGTCTAGGGTGCCTGTTTCCATGAGATAATAGCAGATCCTCGGGACTATGGTGTGTACCCCGTCTGCTGTTCATCACAAGAATAATTAAAAGATCACTTGCTTACACCTTAGGTAAATACATAACCGGGGAACAGAAGCATACTTTAATGTACCGATCTGGGATGTGGCAAAGAGACTAATTGTCATTTTTTTGGACTAATGTTACTCCGCCGATCGTATCCGAGTTGTTCAAGTTATTTATTACACGTTCAGCGTACTGCTCAGTATATTCAATTTCACAATTATTCATCCATTCTGCGTAGATGAATCAGTGCAGTAATCTTAAGAACTAGAAAATCGATCCATGGTTTTCTCGAGGGTGGAATAATGTCAGGTAACCCAAACAGAACCAGGCAAATTTTCATGGGATTCACAACCCAGGTCTTTGGGTAACCAAAATCGTGAGGTAGCGCGATGGTGCGTAAATTGGAGCTGGTGTTAGATACGTCGGATCATACACCCTCCGTGCTGGGTAACGTCCAGGGTGTACACCTGCCCAATCGAGCCGGTGACCATTGCGAGCAGAAGTTCCTGAAGCTGGTTCATTGGAGTTTTCTAATCATGGCTCCCGTAGATGAACTAGTTGCCTGTGGCTTAGTTAACACACTGTTGGTCACGGGCATCCGTTTAGTGATATCCGACAATACAAGTTTTTTCGCCATACCTAAGTGCGATACAAGGTAAACTTACTGGGTTTCGTAGCTACCTATGGCTCAGTTATAGGAACACACGCGTATATATATATATATATATATATCCGTGTGTTCCTATAACTGAGCCATAGGTAGCTACGAAATCCAGTAAGTTTACCTTGTATCGCACTTAGGTATGAGATCATTGTGATGAAAATGCACTTCCTGGGTACAAGTGAGATGAACTGACAAAGAATTCCTGGATATGCTTGTCTGACGAGCGGTAAGAACCACGAAACTGGTCGCGTTCTTCCAGGGAAATTTTGTCCAGTTATTCATATACTACATATGATATATACGTATGTCATGCACGTTTAGGCCCATACTGTGCCAAACAAATCATAGTCTCGTAATCTTCATAGAAAAAATAAGGTCCATGATTTGGTTGTTGGTGGAATACTGCTCGATTACCCAGGCCAAAGCAGGTAAATGCTAAAGGATAATTCACAACCAAACCTTCAGCTAGCCAAACCTAATCCATGAGGCAGCGGAGTGATGGATAAATCACAATCTGTGGTTAGTATCCAGTTCGTTGGATTATGCGCCCTTTGGACGGGATCAAACGTCCAAGGTGCTCCAATACCTCAATGACTCATCGTGCCGACGACCATTGCCACAACCAGGAAGGTGTGGGTGCTTGTGGTTCATACACATCTTAGTTGGTTTGAAATCAGGGGTGTTTGGTGATTTATCGACTCGATTATAAATCCGGGTGTTGGCGTTTGCTCCTTACATTGGTGAACTACCTTAACCTTAATGAGATGCACGAGTTTTACGTTAAGAAACAACCAAGTTGTCTGCCCTTGTAATCTACTATTGGCTTTGATAATCAAACGCGTTGTTACTAGCAATATGAGTCGCTCGAGCTTCATCGAAAGACTGCTTTTAGCGATTTGTCCACGACGAACTTCGGATTTCAAGAGTATGAAATTTTCAGCCTCGTAGTTTATGCTCTTGGGTTTTCTTCATTACCTTAACAGGATGAAGAGGATGTCTACGGCGAGGTTAAAGAAGATGAGGATGATGAGGAACAAGAGGGTGAAGAAGCCGTTGTCGAGCTGACACTACAATCGCGTGCGGATGATCCCAACAAGGCCTTGCGTCATTCTTCGGAAATCCTGAATCCGCGTGACATTGATGCCTTTTGGCTTCAACGAAACTTGGCCAAGCACTGCAAAGTAAGTCGATTTGCTTCTAACAACTTCATTGTGGTTCACTCATCTCGATCCTTATCACTTTTTTGTCTTTTTTAGCTGTCTGTACTGAGGAGATAAACTCAAAATAATTCCAATAAGTGATGATTATTATCCCTGATTTTCGAAAACAATGTTTCTTTGTCTTCTAATATGGCAATACTCGCAGATTTCCGTTTTTTTGGTTTTACAACCCCGTACACACATTCTGTTCTTACACTGAATTTTGCTGTTCGATAATCACAGGATCCGATGGTGGCACAGGCCAAAGCCAAGGAATGTTTGGAGATCCTCCAATCCGCCACGGATGATCGAGACCTTGAGAACCGACTTGTGCGAACGTTGGGTTACGGACAGTTTGATTTTGTGAAACTGCTGCGGAGCAATCGAATGATGGTCTTACATTGCATTCTCCTGGCTCAAGCTCAGACAGCACAGGAACGTAGTCAGATTGAGAACAAAATGATGACTGATCCCAATTTGGCAAAAGTCCTCCGTGAATTGCGCAACACTGATGAAACCGCCGATGTGGTTGCCGAGGAACGTCAGCGCAAAACGATGCAGCGGGCTTCACGCCTTCAGGTCGGTTCTTTGTATCATGTCCTAATAGCTCTAGTGTAGGTATTTTATTATTGTGTTCGTTATACTGTTTTTTTTGTCGAACTACCCCGGAATTTACACAAGCGAGACTGAATCGCCGCATAAGCGAGCTTTGTTTTGAAGTGCACCAAAATTGTATCCTTATTTAAAGTGCGATAGCTGAGCCACGGTGAACATTCATGTGAAAGGCAATAGGTGTGAATGTTCTGTATGTGGTCAGTATTCCGAACAGAATGTGATGTTCAACTTATGTTCAGTTCATATCACTACTAACCTTGCTCTTTCTCGTTGCTGTTTTTTATTGGTGTTTTGTTACTGACTGTTTGGATGGAGGGCTTGAGAGAAATAGAAAACTGAAAGCAGTACCAATTTAAAGACAGAATGCAGTCAAACTTAACTTGCGAGTAGATTGAGATGCACTAGCATCATTGTTTATTACACCCATATCATCGTGTTTCTAACCGTCAATTCGACCACCCAAGGTGCTGGAAGTCTACAGTGGGTGAAAGAAGCCTAATGTGGTATATATGTTCAAGTTTTCCGGTCAAGGTTTTTATACTTTGTTTGAGCACCCTTGACTTTCTTCCACACATTGCACGCCTCGGTAAGCATCGCTTATCGATGGAGTCTATATGATGAAATTCGTACCGCATGTCTCAGCCGCAGCCTTCTCCTCTTTGCCACCCATCAGTTCTCGCGGTCTTTCCTTAAGTTTAAGAGAGTTGCGCTCTGTTTCATATTTGAAGTCCGAAGGAATGTTTTCACGAGCCTCCCACAAGGTATCAGCAATTAAGAAAACCCATCGTTTGTATCTTGGTACCAGAGTTAGTTTTCTGTTGAGATATTATTGAATGACTTCTCTGACTAGTTTCCAATGTTCATTGAGGCCTTGGTTAATTTTTCGAATTGGGTATCGATACGAGAGCTCCTCTTAGAATGCCGATTTGCAGTTATCGATTACTGTTTACATTCCTTTCCGGTTGCAGTTGTTTGCAGGGTATAGGCAGAATCTGGTTCCGTATCCATAAGTGTTGACCAATGGGAGGCAGCCTTGAATAGGTCTTCGTCAGTGGTGACTGATAGTAACGCTGTCGATTTGTCCACTGCAGTAAAGTGTGTGGGGTTTTTCATGTAAGGCCCTTTCTAGTGAGAGAAGTTGGTGCCTGACTGGAACAATCGATAGACTTCGCAAACTAGGACTAGGCTATCTCTATTATCCGTCTCGTTGGCTGGGACTGCAAACAGGCCACCTAATTGCTGTTCTAATTCTTCCAAAGATAACATTTGNGATAAATACGATGTCTGTTCATCAAACATTGTGCGGCGGTAACTGCAGATCAATGTAGAAGTTGTCTCTCATTTCCAGCAAACTGCACTCAGTCCGCACATACCTGGGCACAAAGAATAAGCAGCAACGTTTCTTTCGATTGCTATTGACCCACAATGAACGGTCGACACGGTACACGACCGATCACTGACTGAGATCTCGTTGAGAGATGCTCGTCCAGCTTTGACAGCCTTATTCCGACACCATCAACTTCACGAGCGCTAGGCGTTTGGTTTGACATATAGAAAGTGATGTTTGAGGATGAGGTTGGTTCTGGAGAACTTCAGTTTACATAGCCATTAGCCTTGCACTTTGGTTTGGCGTTCTTGTTTGCTGATTTTTGACAGCCCATTTGAATAAAGGTCTGATAAATGCTGTTTGGTAACTCAGACACTATACATCTACATCGAAAATTTCAAAGGTCATACCTCAGATCGGGTTGGGGTCTATGGCCCACTTTCGCCACCCTTCGACCAGACTACACCCACGATGAGACTACACCCTGACGTGGTGTGATGGCTTGTGCACCTCTATGACCCAACGAGCTATACAGGATGGCTTTATAAAGCCAGGAGATCTTATCATGCCTGGAAGGTCAATGGGTAGAGGTCAGACGAAGTTTAGTCCCCTGGTCCTCCAGGTTGGGGGTTCACCTGGAATTTGGCGTTTCAGTAGATGAAAATCTGTGAAGTAATCGATCCAAGTAAATGGGCCTCCACTTCGCCTGGCGGTTAGGTTCCTGTTAGAACTAAAGGCTTTGGACGAGAACCCTAATCGTTCTGCTTAGTGGTTGGACACCCTAGCAGTACCCGTCCACCAAACCCCAATGCATACACAAAATAAAAATAATTCCATACTGCATCGGTCGTCGCGCAGGATAATCAGGACCGCGTTGCCCGTTGCATCGAGCGGGGTGGGTAGTGATAAGTGGGCTACTGTTCAGATATCCCAACCTTTGTTTAACTCCTTGTCTTCCGTTCCCAACCCATTCCTTTTACCCCTTCTACCGACCTGTAATAGTCCCTCAAGCAACTTGGATGTCGCTCGCCAAAGGTCGTTGCCAAATAGCACTGTAAGTGATTTACCACGAAATGGATTGCAGATTCTAAAGCCTCGTCAATCACTGAATCTGGGGGGCTTTCAGTGTGAGGACTTTGATGCAGCTAGGCCAACAAGCTTGTCTGGCTCGTACAATGGAATCCTTTGCTGGGTGTCGGAAACTGGGATCCAGGATCCTACTACTCTAAGCCACTTGAGCGCTCCAGATTTGTCGGCGAGATACGTTCTTCGCACATCAGGGGACGGCGAAGCTCGTTCAGTAGGTTAGCGCGGGGTAGGTATTGTGCTCGGTAACAGGACGGAGTCCTCTTTTATCGTTTGGATCCCCGTCAACAGTCGCTTATGTGCAGTGCGTCTCCAGGGTTCAATCAACGTCCGGAAGGGAAGCAACACTAAAAGGTTTGTTCATCGTATCAGCATATGCACCGATCAATTGCAGTTCTGATACCCAAAAGGACGCTTTCTACGATGAACTCACCGATCTCATTCGGATGAGTCAAAGCTCCGACATAGTTGCAGGTGCCTTCAACGCGCAGGTTGGAAAACTGGGCGCATCAGAAGCTTGCCTAGGCGGTAATTGTGTTCTGCTCTGTCAGCGAACAGATGATGGCGATCGACTTCTTCAATTCTGCGCCGACCATCATTTCTTCCTATCAAGCACCAGCTTCCGACACAGCTCTCGATGGACGGAAACATGGCAATCCAGTTTAATTGATACGTTAACTCAAAGCGACCACATCGCAGTAAGTTACCGTTGGCTCTGCAAAATTGCAGGTCCTTTTGGACCACCTGCGTTGAGTCTGATCACATTAGTTTTGATGCAGTTCACTCTCCGACTGTCTGGTAGGCGACAAAACCAGCAAGCTCGCATAGCTCATCAACGAATATCTGCTCCAGCAGTTCATGCATTCTGTGAGTCAGAGCTAGTGCGTAAGCTAAGTGCGCTTCAGCGTGGTGATGTAGACCAGCAGTGCGATCAGGTTAGGCGAGGAATGCATTCCGCAGCGAATGTTGCTTGTGGGTCTGAGCCTCAAACCCGTCGGAGACATTGGATATCTCAGGAGTCAGTAGCCCTGATGGAATAAAAACGGCATGTCCCGACCTGCCAGGATCGAAATAGAGTTAGGCGGCAGCTACAACGTCGGCTCACGAAGAGCCTCAAGAAGGACCGTGAGATCTGGTGAGCAACAATAGCAAGTGAAATGGAAGTAGCAGCTGCATCAGGGAATAGTCAAAGACTGTTCCAACTGACACGCAATACGGGAGGTCGGCGAACCCCAGTTAGTGAGACAGTCTGCAATAAGAGGGGACGAGCTATTCACAATAGGAATCAACGACTCGATCGCTGGGTGGAATACTTCACTGAACAGTTCAGCTGGCCTAGTGCTAACCGGGCTGCTTGATCTGCGACTGAAGCTCCGTGGGCATCGTCATGCGATCCTCCAACGGAAGCAGAAGTTCGGTCTTGCATTCAAGCTCTGAAGCGAGGAAAGGCAGCAGGACCTGATGAGCTCCCTCCCAGTCTTTTCAAGATGGGAGGTGATTACCTCGTAACCTCTATTACTACCCTACTGCGCAACATTTGGATGCAAGAGCACATTCCTTCATTATGGGGTGAATCACTGATCGTTCCCATTTTTAAGAAAGGATCCCGCAACGATTGCGAAGACCACCGCGGGATGAGTTTGATTCTGATCGTCCCCAAAGTGCTTCGACGTCTGACACCTTTAAGAGATACCAACATCCGTGAACAACAAACCAGATTCCGGCCTGGCCGTGGATGTATTGATCAGATTTTTACGTTGCGTCAGCTCCTTGAGCTGCGTCATACCTACCGTCGGCCAACGATCGCAGTGTTCCTTGACCTGAAAGGAGCCTTCCACTCAGTTGACCGCGAAGCTCTGATGGGCTGCCTTCTTCGTAAAGGAATACCTCAGAAGTACGTTAACCTACTGAGGTCACTGTACTCACATATCTCCGGTCGTGTAAGGGTCTACAATGGACTAAGTAGACTGTTCGTCACCAGCAGCGGCGTTCGTCAAGGGTGTTCTCTTTCGCTGTTCCTGTTCAATTTCGTCGTAGACGAAATACTGGAGGGCGCACTAAGAGGACTCCAAAACGTAGGTATTGAATGGACAGCTGGAGAAAAGCTGTGTGATTTAGAGTACGCCAATGACACTGTCTGTCTGTTCGAATGTATGGAGGACGCGCAAAGCGCACCTAATAGATTAACAAGTGCAGTAGCCACATTCGGTATGTGCTTTCCACCTTCAAAATGCAAAGTAATGCTGCAGGACTAGGTTTCGTTTACTCCCGCTCTGACACTAAATGGCCGGGATTTAGTTGCGGTGGATTACTTTTCCTACTTAGGTAGTTGTCTGACCAATGACTGTAATGCAGCAAAAGCGATAACCGTCCGCATTTCCAGGGCTCGAGCAGCATACGCAGGACTGAACCACCTTTGGCGTAGATGCGACGTTTCACTGAAGTTGAAAGGTCGTGTATGTTGTGTTAGCGTCCATTCAGTCCTTTATGGTTGTGAGATCCTGAATTTACGACTAGAAGTTTTCGCTTATCGGTGTTTACGCAGTTTAACCCACGTTGGATGGAGCGAACGGGTTAGTAACTTGGAGGT